TAGCTTCTTTTTCAACTGCGACACATAAAAAATGTGGTGAATTTTGGCATTAGGGGGAAGATCCAGCTGATATGCAACCTGCCCGATCTTCTTGATCACCCGAAATGGACCAAAATACTTTGGACTGAGCTTAGAATAATCATCCCCACGTATCAAAATTTGTCTATAAGGTTGCAATTTAATGTACACCCAATCATCGACTAGGAAGGACCTCTCTGATCTTCTTTTATCTGCTTGCATTTTCATCCTGTCTCGAGACAATTTCAAATGATGCTTCAACATCGTGATTGTGGATTCCCTTGCTTGTAAGCTTCTGTCAACAGCCTCCACCATTGAACTCTGAGGTAAATATAGGAGATGGAGAGGAGGGCTCTGTCCATACAATACCTCATAAGGCGTAGTTCTAGTGGAGTTGTGAAAGTTGGTATTGTACTATCATTCAGCAAGTGGCAACCAAGCTGCCCAATTCTTTGGTCTATCTCTACACATACACCTCAAATATCCTTCTAGACACTTGTTAACAGCCTCCGTTTTCCCATCACTTTGAGGTTGGTAGGCTGTAGAATGATGCAAGGTGACTCCTTGAAGGCCAAAGAGCTCCTGCCAAAATTTACTTTAAAATATAGTATCTCTGTCAGACACAATTGTCTGCGGCAATCCATGGAGTTTGTAGACATTTTCCATGAAAACTTGTGCCACCCTTTCCGCTGTAAACGGATGTTTCAATGCCATAAAGTGAGCATACTTGCTCAACCTGTCTACTACCACCAGAATAGTTGTTTTACCTGAAGAATTAGGTAATCTCTCAATGAAATCCATGCTGATATCCTGCCACACTCTCTTAGGAATTGGTAGAGGTTGGAGTAGTCCTGGATAGGCCACATTCTCCACCTTGTTCTTCTAGCAAATCTCACACTCTTGAATATGTTTGTACATATCTTTTCTAATACTTTTCTAGTAGTAAACACTTTTTAGCCTGTGCAGAGTAGCAATGATACCTGAATGCCCCCCTAGTGCACTGTCATGGTGCAGCTTAAGTAGCTCCTTTCTCAATTCTGCATCTCTGCCCACAAACACCTTGCCCTTCCTGTATAGCAACCCATCTTTATAAACATAGCCTGGCCTACTATTGGGGTTTAACTGAAGTTGTTGAATCAATTTAGAAATCTTGCTATCATCCTTGTAAGAATCCTTGATCTGCTGTACAAACTGACCAATTACGACAATCATGGAGTATAACTTGGCCACTCGAGACAATGCATCTGCTACTAAATTCTCCTTCCCTTTCTTGTATACAATAGTGAAATCATATCCCAAAAGCTTAGCTATCCACTTCTGTTGGCTGGGGGTAGATATCTTCTGTCCATCAAGTATTTCAAACTCTGATGATCAGTTTTGATAATAAAATGCTTCCCGATCAGATAGGGCCTCCACTTCTGCACGGCAGCTACTATTGTCATCATGTTCTTCTCATACACAGATAACCTACTATGTTGGACTCCTAAGGCCTTGCTAAAGAATGCCAATGGATGTCATGACTGCATTAAAATAGCCCCAATACCATCATCACAAGCATCTGTCTCGATCACAAATTCTTCAAAAAAGTTAGGCAATGCCAGAACTGGTGGTGAAGACATGACTTCCTTTAACTTGTTGAAAGCATTCTCAGCTATTTTGGTCCACTGAAATATTCCCTTTTTTAACAGATTGCTAAGAGGTCTAGCCAACAGGCCATATGCTCTTATAAACCTCCTATAGTATCTAGTGAGCCCCAGGAAACCCCTAAGCTCTTTCACATTCCTTGGAGGGGGCCACTTAAGCATAGCTTCCAGCTTCTTAGGATCAGCAGACACTCCATTACCACAAATTACATGCCCCAAGTGTTCAACCTCCTTTGTTGCAAAAGAACATTTACTCATCTTTACATATAGGCTATTTGATTGTAGGATCTGAAAAGTTATTTCCAAATGATTTAGATGGCTGGACCATGAAGGACTGTATATAAGGATATCATCAAAGAAAACCAAAATGATTTTTCTCAAGTGTGGCTGGAAGATGTGGTTCATTAGACTTTGAAAAGTAGATGGTGCATTTGTGAGTCCAAAGGGCATCACCACAAACTCATAATGTCCATGGTGTGACCTAAAGGCTGTCTTCTCAATATCAACAGGGCACATCCTGATCTGGTGGTATCCCGCTCTAAGGTCTAGCTTAGAGAAAAACTGAGCACCTCCCAATTCATCCAATAATTCTTCAATGACAGGTATTGGAAACTTGTCATTGACGGTGGCCCTATTCAATTCTCTATAGTCAATACACAACCTCCACGAACCATCTTTCTTCTTAACCATGACTATCGGTGATGAATAAGGACTCAAACTTGGTCTAATTATACCTGTTTGCAACAATTCTTGTACCATTTTCTCAATCTCATCCTTCTAAGAGGCTGGATATCGATAAGGTCTTACATTAATGGGAAAAACTCCCTCCTTCAAGACTATTTTATGATCATGACTCCTGTGAGGTGGAAGCTCACTAGGAACAACAAAAATAGGGAAATATTGATCAAGTATTTGCTGTAAATCACTAGGACAAGTCTTACCATTTCCTCCTAAATGCATCTCTGATAAGCTGAGAGTCTGGGCAGCAGTATGCTTCACAAAAGTCACTGTCATCATACTCAGCTGAGTAGGTCTGTTTAACAATTTCTGCATCTTTTGACTGCTAACCATCTTGGAATCACCAGATGGACTTCCCCTGAGTGATATTTTCTTCCCATTAATCTGAAATTCCATCTTCAGTTGTCTGAAATTCCATCTTCAGTTGTCTGAAATTCCATTTGATATCTCCTAGTGTAATAAGCCACTGAATTCCCAACACTACATCAGCACCTCCTAAAGGTATCACCAACATGTCAGCCATAAAATCCACTCCTTGCATCCTCCATTTCACCTTCTTGCTCATAAACTTGTTATGAACCCTACTACCATTGGCAACAACCACAAAGAAACTAGGAATAGTTTCCAACTGAATTCCTAATTTCCTTGCAACGTTCACATCCATGAAATTGTGAGTTGACCCAGAATCCACCAACACATGTACCATCTTCCCCTTTATAGACCTTTTTACTCTCATTGTTCTGTAATCCACTGTTCCATCCAATGCATGGACGGACATCTGAGGACTAAGATTGGACTCCTCAGTATTTTCTTCTTCCATTGCGGGTTCTTCCTCCTCCAGTACCTCAATATCTTCCTCCAACTCCAGAACATACAACTATTTTTTCTTCTTACAGTTATGACCAGGAATATATTTCTCATCACACCAAAAGCATAACCCTTTGGCCCTCCTCTCGTCCATTTCTGTGGCAGAAAGTTTTCTTGGTCCCTTTAGTGTAGAATGATTACTAGGATTAGAGTACTTTCCTCCATTTGAACCCCTACTGCTTTCAGGTCCCATTAAGTGATAATAACTTCTAAAATTTGAACTCCTAGAAGAACTTGGAGTGGGTAACAAGGGTCTAGAATTTCTTACCATTAACTGGTTATGTTCTCTCTGTAACTTCACTGATTGTTCTGCTAATTTAGCAAGACTATAAGCTCTCATTAAAGTCCTTGGTGCCAACATGCGGACTTGAACCTCAACCTCAGGTTTTAATCCATTCAAAAAACAACTGATAGAATATTCTTCTGTCAACTCTACTTGATTCAACAGTTCGTCAAATTTATCCAAGAACTCTTGAACACTCTCATTCTGTTTCAGGCCCACAAGTTCAGACATAGGATCAGCATACAGAGTATGTCCAAACCTAAGATGCAAAGCTCGTACATAATCGTTCCAATTTGGGAATTCCCTACCCAATCTTGACTTCAATAGCGTTTGGTGCCATTGAAGAGCTCTGCCCTCCATGTGAATCGAGGCTAATTTCACCTTCATATCTTCCGGAGTTCCATCAACATCAAAGAATTGTTCGCATCGATACACCCAACCTCGCAAATCGTCACCCCCAAATCTGGAAAATTCTACTCGTGAATATCGGGTATTCACGTGATTATGATTTCCAGCTCCATTCATCTGGTAACCTACCCCATTAGTACCGATTCCCGTACTTTCTGCCGGAGCCGCTGGTGGAACCGTCGGAGCTTGATTATTAATAGCCATGGCTGCTACTAGCTGTCGGATTTCTCCAATCACATCATCATGTTTTCCCCCAAAATCCGAACTTGTTCTCTGATTTCATCTAATTCACGTCACATTTCACTATTTCTCGTCGTTTCCGGCATCGTACTTCGCCAAGAAACGCTCGCTCTGATACCAAATTGGTACAACCAAAAAGGAATAGTAAGCAAATCTCTAAGAAACCAATGAAGAGAATGGTTTCTGAACAAGTATTTGCAGAGGGTAAATTGAGAGTTCAGAGAATAGAGAAGAGAGAAGAGAGAAGGAAGATTGATTTTATTATCATAACCCCTAACTGGTACAACCCATCTCCTATATATCCTGTATCTAATAACAGACTGACCTTCCACTTAACCGACTAACTAATCTGTTATTAGCAATATGGTAATTGACAACTATATCCCTTACTTATTACATCAGTGACAAAAATACCCTCTTGTATAAAATGAATATAACAATTACACACAACAGACACAAGTACAAGCTCCTCAATGAGAGGGAAATAGTTGCTGGCGAAGTGTAGAGTTCATTGCTCAAACAGACACTCAACTATTGAAAATTATATAGTAAAGTTATTTTTATTTTGTAACATAAGTCATTTTTCTATACCCATATCACACCAAGAGTCCCTTGGCACCGGATTTGTCCAAGTTCTGGCTCCCAATAGCTGATCTAGCATTATAAACAGATCATATACACTTGACAAAATCAAAAAATAAAATCCGACCTGCAACAACCCGATGCTCTCCCTCTCCTCCAGCTAGAGAGTTTGTTGGACAGAACCGCGCAACGTGATATTGTGTTTATCATGGCACATAATGTAATCTTGAAGACAGTACATATAAAGTGACTCTTGAATAACAAATGATCATATGAATCTTTCCTTTCCAGAGAAGCAATCAGATTGGTATTCTGGACTGCACATGGGGGCCGGGATCAAGTTTGCATTATACACACGCCAAACAAAATGACGATCATTAGTATACACATTCACATTGTGTTGTTCATCTACAAAAGAGAGGCAGTGACAGAACCTCTGCTTGGACTATTAAACAGTATATGTTCCTCCTCTAATCTTGTTTTGTCTCCGATGACAGAAATCCAAGTTTCTGCAATCTTCTCCACTCTTCCGTTTGAAATTTCTGCGATGGTGAAGGCTCGCGATGTGCCTTCGGATTCAGCTGTCAAAGCTGGGGGTCTAACCCGGGGAACAATAGCTCCATTCAAGTATATGGTATTATCATTTCCGACCACTATCATTTTACGAAAGCCATTTCCTAAAGCAAGTTGTTTATGCATGTGACCGAAAATGACCAATGGGACCGAATATGGAGCAGCCTCTTTTAGTTGGGCCAAGGCATGTGCTAGATCTGCACGAAATATAACAATCATATGCTGATGAAACAAATTGTTTTTGAGTTGATCAGATTTGATTAATCAAGATTTGGATTACTACTCTCATCAGGACAAATGGGTTGTAGCATTGAAGGACTTCAGAAACAAAGATATCAATTACTCCCTCTGCCTCTATTTATATGGAACAGTTTGGATTTCGAGACTCAAACTTCTTAATTTTGATTGTGAATTCGAACATAGAATCTTTAAATTTTTTGAAATAAAATTTACATATTTGGAAACTATGTCAATAGACAAAAGTACTATAAAGTTATAATAATTAAAAGGCATATGAAAAAATCACGGTCAAAGAAAAACTCTCAAAATCCAAACACCGCCACGTAAATTGGGACCGAGGGAGTAATAATTATTACCTGGATCACCATGGTCGCCACCTCCAACAAACCAGTCTCTTCCGCAGATGTCATCTATTTTAGCACCTAGCCCTGCATGTCTTATTCTTAAAACCTCAAAAATTTCCAGCAACAGGTAGAAGTACCTCAACAAAATACTACATCAGCAAGCTAATATACCCGTTGGACCATTATGAGCAAGAAATATAATTGAATGATCCTCTGGAGTGCCCATGGCAGCTTGTAAGATCCTCTCAGCGCTCCTATCCATATCATGGACACCATACCTATGAAAATAATTGAGATACATTAAGCGTTTTTTTTATCAGTTTGAGATACGTTAGAGTTGCAAGTCACAATCTAAGCTACATCCAGAGTGTTAAAGCAGAAGCTTGAGCTTGCAGATATTATCTGCATGATATGACGCTCTTTGGCAAAGCCACCTCTGATATAGGCATAAGAGTTAAAGATGAAATCATTTAAATCTCAAATATTTCAAGGTCAATAAATTCTTAAATATTACTTAGAGACTAGTTTTGAGCAATTCCTAAATCAAAGTGTCTAACATGAGTTCCATTGAGCAAAAGTGATCAGGCGGTAGCAACAATGGGAAGAAAAATGTCAATCATCAATTTGAAGTATTTATGATCAGAACATGAAAAGAGGGGGGAAAAAAAGCTTCAAGCATG